ATGCCCCTCGTCCAATCCCTCAGAATGCCCCCTTGGGCGGTGCTGAGATTGTGCAGGCTGCATGTGCCGAACTCATGTCCGACTATCACTGTCTCGTCAATCCTACCCAGATTGCTAGCCCACCCACCTATGCATTCCATCTCTCTGGATCATTCCCCCAAGTCATGGCTGCCCGAGGCCGTCTGTTGCGCGAACAACCCTTCCAAGTCGAAAGCCTTGTCGCCGTCGATCGCAACGACGTCCTCGAAAACGGCCCCAACGTACGCCCCGTGATGAAGATCAGATTGGACGAAATCGCCTCGGCCAGTCGTGCCCATCTATCCATCGTTGGCAATCCCCGTGATGGTGGCGGGATCGATGTAGTGGTTCGTGGAGATGCAGAGGCAGTCGAGGAAGCCCGAGTTAGACTATTGGTCCTGCTCGATCAACTCGTAAGTTTTTCTTTTTTTTTTGGCCAAAACAAATAACACACATCCGTCTGCAATGGGCTTGATGAGATCTTTATTATCAACAATCTTGCTCGAGACGTGCGAAACAGAGTTGCTGACTTTGCTCAATCTTTCCCACAGAATGGTTTACACTCTGAGGTTTGCGAAATCGACTACAAGTTGCATCATATCATTGCTGGTCGCAAGCGCTCGGTTATCCAATCTATCCAAGAGGAAACCGCGACTAATATCTATTTCCCTTCGGCTCTATCTGGTGGTGGTATCCTTGGCGCCCGTTCTGCATCATTGGTAGAAAAGCAAAACATGATCTTTATCACTGGTGAATTCTTTGGTGTTCAGCGTGCTCGAGAGATGTTGTTCCAAGTGTCGATGCACAAAGTAAGTACATTTCCTCGTATCTATCAAGAAATCAATTGCAATTCTAATTGGTTTCCTCCTCTATCATCCTGTCACCCTGACCCCCAAAAATTAGAGTAAATGTATTATATCCAGAGACACGGCTATGCTCCCCAGAAAGTTGGATTGGTTACTTATGGAAAAATTATCCCAGCTCCAGGAAATTATGTATGATAACGGCACATTCATCAACTTTCCACCCATTGGTAGCCAGGTCAGCGTGCTTTCGGTATATGGCGATCATCGTGTTCACATTGAACGTACTATCAGAAGCCTCATGCAATTAGTTCGTCTTGTCTTGTCTACTTCTTTCTGTCGATCAGCAGTCTTCAATTTCGATCTGACCTTCTCTTCCTCGCGTTCTGCTTGCTTTAGGCCTGCGAGTTTTACATTGCCAACGTTTGGTTACTCCCTAAGTCAATCCAAGATGTCTATCCGAATGGCTCGCAGCCTAGTATTGTCAACCAGGCCGCAATTCAATCTGACGGCAATCGCATTGCAATCGAATCCGGCGCCGAAGTGGTCTTTAAAAGTACAAATAGCTTTGAAGTCTATGGCACGGAGAAAGTTACCAAACGAGCTGTTGAAAAAATACTGGAGTTAGACATGGTCAAAAACTCTCAGGTCGAAATCCGATTCCAGGTCGAGCTGGCTTGTGAACATCGTGACTTTATATCGGGCAAGAAAAATGGAAAAGTAAGTCTCTCTTCGCCCGTTCAAGCTTCTTAGATGTGATAGATTGATCCTTACTTTGTTTAACGCACACCCTTGACCACAGTTAAACAAGATTATGAAGACTTCGAACGTCAAGATCAAGTTTGAATCATTCAATGACTACAACTTTATGCTTAACCTCTCCGGTAATCCTGCGACTGCCATGATGGGCTTGAGCTTGCTGGAGGAAGAACTTCCGGCCGAGATTTCGTTCCATATTCCTGAAGGTTACCATAAGCGAATCATCGGGGTCGGCGGCAAAAATATCCAAAGGATCATGAAGAAATATGGAGTTTACGTCAAATTTTCTAATGCGAAAGAGTTTGCCAAATTGGGAGGTTACCAAAACAATCATGACAATGTTGTTGCCCGGTTTGTTTTTCTCTTTCTTCCTTGGACTTGTTTGCTGGCTAGGCCAACCACTCACTTTTTTGTTTCTTTGTCAGCACTCCAGCTAAGAATGCAGAAAACCTTGAAAACTTGAAGCAATCCGTGATGGAGCTAGTACATCCAAAAGACAAAGACTTTGTCATTGAATATCTGAACATCGATCGCACCCAACACCGAACGATTTTGGGAGAGAAATCAATCTTCATCCATGATATCGAGTCCAAGACCAACACGTGTTTCTACTTTCCTTCGACGGAATCGGGATCATCTACCATCGAAATATTCGGTCCACGTTCACAAATTGCGATTGCTAAGCAAATGATCATGTCTCACATTGGCCTTGAAGCAGACTGTCGATTAGTGGCAACCACTGAGCTATTGAAGGCCGTCGCGAGCGAAGAATTCAACGACAAGGTTATTCAGACTTGCAAGAATCATTGGAACGTCACCGTCTTGGTCATTCATGGTGGGGCTGAGGGCGAAGAATTAACGGTCAAGTTCGGATTGACTCGTGCGAATGCTGAGAACTTGCAACATGCGCGCGAGACTTTAGAAGCTTTCTTGATCGAGAAGAAGGTTAGTTTTTCTTCTTCTAGGTAGATATTACATGCATACAAGTCCTACAGCTAATATGACTCAAATCTTCGCAGATTAACTTCCATCGAGAGAGGGGCACGGCTGGGACGTACCACCGCCGTAACACTGTTACTAGCATCAGCTCTCTCGATCGTTCAACCAATGGCTTTAATACTTTCACTCCGCCCACACCCACCGACGCAGTGGGCTTCGGCACGATCAACCGCCATGGTAGCGAGAAAGACCTTCAAGGATTGGTTGATCGAACAAGTGGTCACTACCACTACCCTTCGTTATCCTCCTCCACCAACTCATCTTCCTCTTATGCTTATCATCCGGCAATGTCCATGAACAGATTATACAATCAGTTTGTTGGCCTCGATGGGCACATGGTCGGTGGACCCAACGGGCCGACCGCCATCGGAGCCCCTGGTGGTGTTGACTGGACCTCGATTCCCAGACAAATGGTTGTAAGTGAAAGTGCTGCAGTTTGGATGGTTATTCACGAAGACATAATATGCTGATTACGCATACGCGCAGAAAAATAATTACAACAGCACCAATCCTCTCGCAAGCGGCGTAAACATGTCTAATGGCCCGATTGGTAAACCCATACATGGTTCATCAGTTTTATCCACCCTCGATGGCAATTCATACCCTAGTTTTATTAATCGAAAAAGCGCCATCAGTCCACGAGCCCAATCGCTCGACTTGGGTCGGCCTACATTTGGATCCGGATCTCAATTGAACAAAGATTATAATTCTCAAGGATTGTTCAACGCTGCCAACCCGATTGCCGGTGAATCACCCTCGCGTGGCCCTGCCAACAACCCTGCTGGACTTGGACATCGTCATCGGTTCAGTCAGGGCGGGCTCAACAATTACTCCAGTGGTTTGATGAATGGATTCGCCGGACTCAATCTTGGCCTCTGATCGATATGAGCCAACCAAGCCATGTATACAAAGCGTAGCTGCCATGAATTACTTTCTTTTTTCACTATCTGGTGATAACTGTCTCTCTCGCAGCATATTTCACCGGTTGTTTTTAGGTTCGTTTTTTTTTTTTTTGGTCGGCTAAACCACCAAGCCCGAGTGGTCATTCTCTGTTCATTCATCAGCTAGACACGCGAGCCAGATTTAAATTTCTTCCTCTGTGATGACATCAAGATTTTTTCCATATATTTTGCGGTTGTTGATAATCCTTTGTTAGCAGTGATTGTGTTGTGGATTTACACTCCCTAAAAACGCATCTAATGGTTTGTTGATTTCGGTCACGCACCTGTTGATTAAATTTCAATTAATAGATCATGGTCGCCCCCATCCTATAGTACCACCCAAAAAAAATGACGAACACCACCCACGACTAAATCTACTAACATGATACATTTCCTGACTAATATCTCAACTCGTCGATTGATTTCTTTTTTCTTTTTTTGTTCTCACCTTAGTGATGATCATGAAGTTGTTATCCCTTGTTTTACGTGTTTTTTGTTCCTCATAACCGTCGTCTTTATTTTTATACATATCTTGTTTCTAAAGAACAAAAGACTTTTAAATATTGGGCTAGCATTCTTTGTGACTATCTTATATATATTCATGACTGCCAACTTGATTCTTTCATAAAAAAAAACTGAAACTGAAAATAACAATAAACCAACTCAACCCAATCCATTTGTGATAACATCTGATTCCTATTACTCAAATTTGTATATGTTTGTATTGACCCATATATCATGTTGGTTCACAAGCATCAAAACAGTTCAAGTTGTTTAGTTAAGGTAGTTAGATACATGAATAGAAAAAATGAAGTTTTGTAATGTCATCAAACATTAATCATTTTTGAAATGTTGTGATAAACTTGCTGTTTGGTGCTTTCTTGCCCACCCGTTTCAAGCTACATAAGTACATACATTGATCAAAACATCTTTTCTTTTTGTGAAATATGAAAAACTAAGACTCTGCTTTTTTATTGGTTGTTGCAGATTGCATAGTAGTAGGAGTGCACTGGACAGATGCAAGAGACAGATGTAAACAGTCCTGCTTCTAGTCTATCTTCTTTTTTTGGATTGTTTTCCTTAAAATTGCTCAACTTTAAAACAGAGTTGAGCACAAGAAGGGGCTTTGAAGCTCCGCGCTTGAACGCGATTGGGGTTAGATTTATTTTAAAAAGTTCAAAATTTGGAGATGTCGAGAACTCTGCTCCCCCTTATCCAATACGCTCAATCTCGCCATGACCAGCAGTCAACTCGAAACCGCCCCACTACCGGCTGATGACATCACAATCGCCGACGCGATCAAGGCCAGCTGCGAGAAATGTCTAGACAACTATAGTATCAGTGTCAGTTCATATTGTGATGGTTTTTGTTTCTTGGTTTCTTTGGCGTTAATGAGAATATGTTTGATTTTCACAGATCAACAAAACTGCCTGCGAACAGTTCTTCTTAAATCTTGATCGAAAAGACTATGAGAAACGGGTCGATGCCGAGCCGGCGAACTTGAAATTCCCGTTGCAGTTTTCCAGTCAACTGGACGAGTTAAACGTGGTGGCAATGGTCTGTCTTTTGGAGGGGTTTCACTCTTATGAAGATCTCCTCAAAGAGAAAACGGGTCGAGGAGTGTGGGAGGTACTACCCCGTTGGTTGTCTTTTATCTCTCTGTTAAAAATTACACATTACCTTCATTTCCCAATGTCTCTGATGATGTATAATATATGATTTTTTTGCAGACCATGCGATATTTAGTATTGGCAGCTTATTTAAGCCCTGAATCTCAATCAACATCAATCCTAACCACACGAGGAATGATTGAAGCCACTCCTGAATACATCTCAACTACGCTTTCACTGCCATTGCACATCGAACGTCCCATCGCTGAGAATTCCCCAATCAGCTTAGCAGAGCCCGATCGGCCGGTCACTCGTTTCGTTGAAGATCTTCTCAGCCTCCTACATTCTACCGGGAAAATCCTCCAGCAATCCGGTTTACCCAACTTGGCCAGCTTCTTGGCTACTCGCTCAAACTTGAATGATGACGAAATGATTCGCCAGCTAGCTGCTGCATTTTCTCCTTTCCGAGACATGTATACCATCGACGGCAAAAGTGCGTCCACCGATTCTCGATTAGGGTGCCGAGTCTCGTGACTTCAATGTGATCGAATAAGATCTAACGATTTTTTTGTTTGATCTTCAGATGTTTACTTGATGCAGAAAGTATTATTTTTGATCCATAAGATTCAAAATACACCAATATCATTCCCAAAGCTCAAATCACCGCGTCCAATATTAGCCGATAACATACTGCCAGGTTGGAAATTTTTCATTTCATCAGACACGCCACATTGCTGACTGTTTTCTTGCTCGCACATCAGTCTTCCTTGTTCAAGCGGGTCTTCTAGACATTTCCAAATCGACAGACAGTTCATTACGAAACCTGAATTTATCCGATTCACACTTGAAGATTTCCTCTCGTTCGGCCACAATACTCCGGGCATCTAGCGTAGCCTGTTGCCAATTTCTGATCGATCTAGTCCAAGGTCTCTCACAGACAAACAAGTCTCTGGAGTACGTCGAACAAGATGGATTGGTGCGCTATTTGTCTAATTTGAGCCGAGAAAGAAGTAGCTCTTGTGCATTCAGAGAGGAAGAGACCGTGGTTTATTAGATCAAGAGTCGCTTGTCAATTTTCGGAATTGTGGAAACAAATTTATATAGAGCTTGCTGCAATACACTTAAGCCTCAACAACAACTCGAACGAGCTGGAATGATGAACAGGTACAAGACCCGCTTTCAGGTTTTGATATCTCTGGGCGAGTTAGATGTGTCTCAGAGAACCTCATGAAGTTTGATTGTTGTAGAGTTGATGTGAAAATGTCACTGACCAGCTGAGGTGTTCAAAATTGCATGTCAACTACACGATACCAAAAGCGTGCAGCCAAATTTCTAGAGACATGTCAAGTAAGATACCCCTTATTTTGTGTCAAAAGTTTGGCACAAAAAGAGGGTTTGTATCACATACACCACAGTGGCTGTCTCCCAAGAGTCATACATATCTATATGAAATATTGTTCTTCCCCTATTTCAGATTTAGCACTAGGGAATTTGTGGCTGCATCACATGACCAAAGCCCCACTCGAGACCAGACAGTAGACTCTTAACTTAGACCAGGACCAGAACTTAACAGAATATAACATTTTTAATGGAAAACCAAATCTTTCTTGAGAAGTTGGCAATAGTGTGACTGAGGTGGTTTTCATTGGTGGACCACTTTTGTATACACAATGGGGGAAACAAAACAGAGGCTATATGGCAGTCAGAGGATAGGGAGGAAAGGGTTGATGTGAGGAGGGATGATGCTATGGAAACACTGAGGCAGCAAAGTGTCAATAGGCCTGCAAGACAGAATAAGAAATGAGACCCAATGTATGTACAGGTTATAGGTAAATCAGGACCTGTCTACTCGTCAATGAAATTTCATTGCAACTGGTCTTGATTAAGATTTATCTCTTCAGCAAGCAAGGATATGGTGGTGCAGACACTCACTGCAAACTGGAAAAGGTGTTAGAAAAGGCTCAGATTGTGCCCTGAGAAGTGAAAAGCAGCACAAGCACTGCGTTTGGAAACAATGTGAACTGATTAACATCTTACACCTATTCAGGACATTATTGAACCAAGAGGCAACAACACAACTCATAATGACATTGCTTGAAGAGGGGTCATAATTGTTGCCAATCACATTTATTGAGTGAGAGATGAGTGTGTAGATACAAGTTATTAAGCCAAATGGTTGGTAAAGGTCAGACAAGGATATGGCCAGAGGGCCCGGAATGGGTGATACAAGTGGCATCCAGATGGCCAAATAAGGATAATACATAGGACCAGATGAGAGTGTCTGGTAAGGACCCTGGAAACCCACTATGAATGTGGGTGAAAAAAATCCGGCAATTTTGGCTCAATTCATACATCAGGGGGGGGGACCGGGGAATGGCATATTTGGGCCCATTCATACACATTTTGTGTGTATGCTTGGTATATAATCCCACAGAAAGTGAGGAAACCCCCCAGGGTTTTCCCACAAGTTTACATAGCAGATATTCATAAATTCAAAGCCTGTTTGCTGTGTAACCTTTCAGGCAACCAAACTAATGGCTTGAGTGTTTCCAAGGGTTGCTTTGTGACAGGCCACCCACCCCTGCAGAGGCTGGCCTTGTGTTAAGTTTTTCTCAAGCAGCTTTGGCAGTGAACCCACTAGTCAGCCCATGGCGGACCATGGGTAGCCCGCTGTAGTGTGCCAATGGTGTTTCAAGGATCAAATTACAAATAATCAGATTCTACAGGTCATTCTTCCCATAGTCACTCACTGAAACCACTAGGCTAGCTTCACTCTGTCAGAAGTTATTTGGCATTTAAGTCTTGTGTGCATGCAAAATGCTTGTTGCATAGTGTGAACCACCATTTGGCTTTATTATGCTTACATATTTGATTTCAATTGTATAGTGTGACCACAAGTTGGCCACATTCTTTTGTATGTACAGCCCCTTGACAGAAAAAATGGAACCGTTTGATTGGAGTCTAGAGGGCAAACCAATGGACTTGAATTTATGCTTCTTGGTGAAATTGTGGAGAATGAGTTCCAAAGAATGATTCTGAAGAATTGGAATGGAAAATCTTTTGTAAAAATTTTGTATGTTTTTCCCCATTTTATGATTTTTTTGGTATTTTTCAATCATTTTTCAAAGTAGCTCAGAGAATTATGACCAACACAATTGCATGTGAAAAGAATGATTATAAATGAAAAATTGAGAAAAATCAATGATCCAAAGTTTAGAGAGCTGAAGAAGTTGGATTGATATTGAAATTGAATTCAATTTCAGTGCCTGATTGCAGGGTTGGTCTGGTGGATGACACAATCCAAACATGCTTAAAAAAGCTGTTGATCATTTTTTTTTTGATTTTTCATTTATAATCATTCTTTTCACATGCAATTGCATTGATCATAATTTTCTGAGCTACTTTGAAAAATGATTGAAAAATACACAAAAAATCAGAAAATGGGGAAAAACGTGCAAAAGTTTTACAAAATATTTTCCATTTCAATTTTTCAGAATCATTCTTTGGAACTCATTCTCCACAGTTTCACCAGGAAGCACAAATTGAAGTCCATTGGTTAGGCCTCTAGATTCCAATTAAAGGGTTCTATTTTTTCTGTCAAGGGGCTGTACACTGAATATTTTGGTATAGCAGGAAACCACACCTTGGCCATATCTTACATGCATATTTAGTTTTTTTTTTTAGGGCTAGAGCCACAAGATGGTCATTTAGGGATTATTGGTCAGGTCTAGAACCACATGTTAGTCACATGGTAAAATAGACTATTTGAGGAGGGCTTTCCACCCTCATCTGATTTTTTTGATTGTCTCATCACATCAGAGGTCATCTCATCTGATCAGCAACCAGAGAGAGCAGATCACTCAATACATACATTAACCAGTGTGATGAGAACCATATGAAATGGAAAGTAACAAGCATCACAACTTGTGCTCTCAACAAGAGAAAGTGATCTTAAAATATTTTGCTCTTGACCAATGATTAAGGAGGAGGGGAAAGACACTTTGAGTAGTCCAATTTTTTTATCATCATCACCTTGGAAATTCAAATTTCACATTCACTATCAGCACATACATCAATCATTTCTTACACAAAGAACATATAAAAAATCTCTTACTCATAAGTCCCACTATCTGCATCAAGCCTGTTGGAAACCATGGCAAACTGTTCCACAGAAAATTCCACTCACAAAGTCTGCTGAATCCACATTGATCTAGGTTTGATAAGACACATAGTTTTTTTCTCTATCATCAGTTTTGCTGCAACAACCAATCATTTGTTGTGTTAACCCTTGTTTAGTAAAATGGAGGGGCAGGCCTTTCAAACCCGCTGTAACAGTTGTAGTAGCTGATTACATACTTGAAATATTGCATCTGCTATTTCCCCCTTGCAGGACGTTTGCCATTCCCAAAGAAGTTCTCACACCACAGCCCAACTTTGCCAGTCTTGGGTTGGCCTGGGTAGGCATTTGGGCATTTTCAACCCAACCTAGACCAACCAATAAGCCTCCTGGTCCTAGCAGTCAGACCCAATGGCGGCCAAAATCTGCCTGGGAGCCATCCTTAGGTGAGCCCCATTTACTACCACAGTTCCCAAAACACCTTGCCACCATGTTGCTGTATAGGGTGGTAAACAACACCCCAGGTCCAAAAAATGTCCCAAAGTTGGAGATCTACCATAGATCTACTACCCCAGGTACCTCTCTTGGATGTGTGAAACCTCAAAATTCACAACCCTTTCACAATACTGATATTATTATTGCCCTTGCTCACCCAATCCTCAGTGTAGGTTTACAACTTTGTGGTGGCACTGCCTGACCTCAGGTGGTAACTCTGGAACACGGGTTGTCTACTCCCCCAGATTCAATGACAGAAAAAAACATAAAAAACATGTTAGCAATGTGTCACATGGGAAACTGGTGAAGACACAAACATCACAAATATATGAAAAATTCAAAGGATAGAATGGTGATTAGACACAGATAAAATCAAGCTTCACAAATAGAAATCTCTTCATGACTAAATCAATTCCCAAATAATACAGGTAAACTGGTAAACATTGAATTTAGAACAGGACAAGAACAGGTAATCACAACTATCAAGGATCATCATAAAAAAAAAAGTAAATGATCAAGTTCCTTTTTGACTAAATGATTCACAATGGAGTGGAGGAAAAGTTGGTCTCCATTTCTTTAGCATAAATATCATACCCAAAAGATAGCTATGAAGCAAAAAATGGCTTTGGGGCTAGAGAGAAGATTTTCATTCTCAATTCTGATGAGGCAGCTGTTTATAACACTACTAGCCCTCCACAAAAACCAGGTGACATGTGTGATACTTGATTGCAGTTTTTTCAGACCATAAGAAAACAATATAATATCAAAGCCCAGATATGTATCAATTGTTTATGATGTTTCTTGGAAGAAAGCAATCTGCATGTATCAGATCTTATTGAGGGATGGGAAAAGTCATTGATGTTATTTCTATGACCCCCTTGTTGATTAGATACATCAAACATTCCATAAAGTAAGAATATTTTTTGTCTCTCAAAGAGGAGATTACCTTAACATCACCAGTTCAGGAACTAAATCCCATTATGGGAAACTAATTCTTCTGCTCAAGTGTCAAGCCAATATCCCCATTCCATAGGATCAAAATGTATCTGTTGCTTTAAAAGGTTGATGGGACCCCTACTACTATTTCAAAATTGAAAAACAAATTAGTGGCTTAAAAGTTAATAATAAAATGATGAGTCTACACTTCAATCTACAAATCATTTGTAGTTTTTCATAATCTCCTACAGATTCACCAAGATCTGGGCACATAAAGCTTAGATTGTGCCAAAACCAATGATCCATCTGATTTCATGAAAATCATGAAACTTGATTGTGAAAGGTATAAAACCTTCCCTTCAAGTTCAGGCATTATCTAGCCTACTATCCTACACCCATTTTTATTGGAGAATTACAAGCTCAACATAACCCAAGCAGTACTATGCACTCAATCCTAGCAATTATATTTTACGTGCTAATATCTATTGAGAGATTGATTAGAACAAAGATAATGTGCTTGAGCCCTAATTTTGATTTAATATGTATAGAAAATATTACGCAGACCCAAAACTAAAAACCGTTTAGTACTCTCATAAGCAAGTTATCAACTTTCCGGTCACAAGACCCAGAACACGCAGAAGGCTCACAGAATGTAGTCTCGGAAGCACGGGATTTGGTAGAAAACAGAGGACTTGAGTTCATTTTTGATATGAAGTGTGTTTTACGGCACATTTATTTATTGATGAACTGATTAAATAGGCTTAGCCTTTGAAAAGCGGAAGTAACGTGAAAATAACGCAAGCGCGCAGATTGTAGGAAGCGGGAATGTTCTGTGATGGGAGGTTTGGATTTATGTCCCTTCTCAATACTGCCCACATACGACTGCAACTTGCTGACATTTGCCGCTCTTCCCGTTCGCAATTGATGCCCTTCTTTTCGCTATAGACAGGTGGAATTTTGGAATGAATTACATGGAAGAAAAATAAATTTGCTAAGCCACTGTCCAACACTCTTTGGGCCTTGAAGATTACTCGAAATTTTGCTGTAGCATTCAGGCGAACATTTACTATTTGGAACCATCTATTTATTTTGAGAAGCATTTTTGACATGGAGTTGCTTCTGTGATGCATTCCTCGGCGGCCAGTTTTTAATGATTGTGGTCAGATATCCGAGAATGGTAGGATGTATCTGTTGTTCAACCAACAGATCCTCCACCTTTTCGCCAGTCTTGCCACCATAAGCGAGAAGGATTTCCTCGATTGTTTTAACAGATACGAATTGTGCGAAAAGTCTTAGCTGAATATCCGATGTTCTAAAAACTTGGTGGATGCACTCGGCAAGCTCCTTGGTATTGATCTGTTGAAGCGCGGCAGCTACCAGTTGGCCTGTAAAGAAGAGGTGTTGAGATTTCCTAAGGCATATCAGATCTCACAGAACCACACAAACAGACTTGTACTAAAAAATCACCTTCATGTGTCGTTGGAATGAAGTCCTTCATTTTATCCAGGGCTCCCGCCAAACTTGTAGTTTGTTCCGGAAGAGTTTGAAGCTGGCCAGCGTAACTGGACTCATCCGAATTTGGCAACGAGAGATATGTAGGTGAAGCTGAAGAGGAGTGCTTATCCAAAAGAAAGGATTGCGCTACGGGGAGAAAAATTGAAAGAAACCACATTTGAACAAGGGCTTGTCCATTCAAAGTGCTCATCACCCCCACGACTTACCTCTTGGAGAAGGATTTTCTTTGCGCAACAGGCTAAGAAGTTTAATGAACCACTGTGTTGGCAAATAATCGTTCACGAAGCTAGGGACAAAGTGGGAGATGGCCATTAGTCGTTGAAAAGAGTTAAAGCTTAATAGCGATGAAGGAGTCGAGTCGTGAGTTTGCGACGTCTCAGTTAATTCTGAATCTAAAAATGAAAATCCACCCAATAAGTTAGTAAAAAAAATGACTAATGCCCTCAATATACTCATACAAACCTGTATTCTGCACTGAAGGTTGCGCGCGTGTGTGTGCATGTTCTGAGATTTGATGAGATGTGCTTGTAGTAGGAATCTGGCTGGTAACATGATCGGGTGTAGTTCCTGTTGTCTGCAGGCTTCTTTCTTCTGATTCATTCTTTTTTGATGAGCCTATTGGATCGAAAAACATTCAAAGTGGTGGTTATTGCAGAGGTGACCACGGAAGAGGATCAGAATGATGGTTCAATTTTGAGACCGCAATCGTATCTTGAAGATTTACACATACGGAAAAGCTGCTTGATCTTTTGCACAATCTTGTCCCAGAACTCTCGAACTTCACTCAATTTGAAAAGAGGAATGATTAATTCAGCTCAACTGATCTTTCTCACATTGACCAACAGCTGTTCGACTCACATTTTTCCACCCACTTGTGAGCTTTTTCAGTTGGTTCGGCCCCCGGGGTTGGAGAAGATATTGCGCCATTTCCTCCTGATCAAATGAATTCCCCAAACGGGATGTGAAGTTGACCCCAGAGGAACTTTAGTGAAAAATTGTGAATAGATTTGTCAAGATTTTTGATACTTTGGACGAACCAGATTTTTCATGAAACGGGGTTGTCGACTCTGGCTGCTGCAAGGCTTCGGAGCTGAGGGATTTTGTCGGCTGGGATTTTATAGACTTGTTTTCTGAGAAAGCTAGATTGGTCTCGGAGTTGGGCGGTGGGTCGTTTGGCTGGAAATGGAGCTCGCGTGGGTGATTGTCCGCCGCCGGCTTCTGAATCGAAGGGAGCTCTTTCGAACCAGACAGGAAAAGATTTGTTATTGATCGTGGTGAAGAAAGGTTTGACTGTGAGGGCTTGCTCGATGGCTGGGATGCGGCTAAGAGCTCAGTTGCCGATGCTCCACTTGCTTTTGTTAGATCTGATGTTGATGTCATGGTGATGGCGCTATCAAGTTCAGATGGAGTGGAGCTTGAGCCTTTCCAGGAGAAGAGTCGTTTTTGGAGATGATTGGGCTGGGTCGAAGGCATCCATTCATTCCCATGATGATTCTGCCCAACGTTTGAGTCCTGATACCGAGTAGCCGGAGTCACCAGCGGGGCACCAGCCGTGAAAGTGCTTCCGGCGACGATAATGGTGCAGAAAGAGCAAGCCCGCATGGATCTTTTGTGGGTGGTGTTTCGATAGGATTAGGAGTCAGCCGGGGTATGAAGAGGCCACAACGGAACTATGATTGAAGACGATGCATTATCCTCTTGTCCTTCACAGATCTCCAGTGGTGTGGCGCTTGCAGTTCTCTGCAAGTTCGACCTACTCCGACAGTCCTCGCACTGTTTGCCTCGGAGAATTGTATTTTAAGAATGGAAATACCAAAGTGTTTCGTTTCACAAAATACAGATTGTATGCACCCCCAGTTCCAAGCTTGGTTTCCGGTTGACATACAATGTTCTGTAAATACTAGGGCATGTGATGCGTATTCATGGACGCAGGCCTGCTACCGAAATGCAGAAAATCGGCCACAACAGGGGTTGACTTTCAAAAGTACTGAAGACATGTACAGGTCGGTGTTTTAGATGATATCACCATAGCTCGGTTTCAAGTGCCAAGACGAGCAACCTTTCCGACGTGTCTTACCAGAAACGGCCTGTACGCCTACAATTCAAATCGTAGCAAGATATCTGTGTAGGCGTCCTTCATGTTGCTGCACGCCAAACATATGGGTGAGTCTTGACGGGTAATATCGGCCTTGACCATCAGAGCATGATAAACCGCGGGCCTCTCGATGCTTTCGCTGAGAATTTGCATCAGTGGGACAACACGAGCATCGAAGCTGCTCGCAAGAAGCCAGGCTCACGCGAGTCAGCTATGCCCAATTGCCGACCCAACTCAGTGTCAAATCACCTGGAAGAAGTATTAAGGGAAATTGGACATTCGGACCGTTCATTATGTGAAGTGGTACCGACCGCTACATTTTTTGTAATCAATCGATGCCATATTGGAACACGGAATGTCCTCGATGAAGTATGTTACAGGAGCAGTCGGGTACCGCCTCGAAAGTTGTTCCGACTTGACCCAGATGTTTATATGTGTTTTAGCGAGTGTGCAAGAGTGGGTAACCAGGGAGGCTGGCTGTGCCTTAATCATAATCAAGTGGGTAAGTATGGTAAAGGGTTGATTGCCGGTGATTGCCATTGATTGCTAGGTCCGAGGGTAGCTTCGCCGATGGCTGCCAACTCAACACAAATCCCAGTATTCCGACGCGCAAACACCCTCCCGCACGGGACTTGCGCCATCAGAGTGCCGGAGGGACCCGGCATGCCGGAGTCACCTCGAAAAATGAGGCCTGGCAGTGTTTCACCCACCTGCTCACCCTGAAACGAGGCTACTGTAGGGAGGGACTTAACTCAAGTCACGGGGGTGCTCCCATGAGACCACCCGCCAAAAACTTTGAAATTTCAGTCTTTAAATTTCACAGACTGTAGCTTCCCTACTATACAGCACAGCTACATACTGAAAGATTGAATCCACTGGACACAGGTCAAAACAAAGAGATGGATCCAAGGATTGCCATGGTGTCAAAAATATCACCAAGGCCTTCCAAGAAGATTGAACGCTGTGGGATCCAATACATTTTTGACCAGAAGCTGAGGCCTCAGTCATGAAAAGAAATGTCCTTTTTGGCAATTCTATTCCTAAAGGCACTCATAAGAAACATTTTCTATAAGTGAAATTCAAGCAAAGAAAAATAATCAAAATTACTCAATCCTAGCATTGAGGTCAGCTAAAGCAATATTCAGACTGAATCAAAGACTGATTGAAAAAATACAGAGCCAAATTAGATGAATCTCAACAAAAGTGTTTTCCGACAAAAGTAGTAACTTACTGGTAATGATCAACATGGTATCATGTTTTGGATGAAGTTTGCCATTATGATTTCTTCAAGCGCAGTTTCAATTTGGAATTGCACACTGTGTATGAGGTATCTTTGATTCAAAAGAACAAGGCTTTCAAATGGGCAGGCCCACCAGAAAACAGAGGTGAAATTATGATTGTAGGGCCACAACACAAGGTCTGTGCTCAGAAAGGTCAAAATTGAAGGGCCCACATATCTGTGGAATGGTATCATTTTTCACATATTATTACTGCTTACATAAGGAGCAACACCCAATTGCCTGTGGTGTTTGTCTCCACCTTTGAATTTTTTCTTCCATTTGGAATGGAAGAATTTAGTTGATACAGGTGTATCATCTTCTTTTCATTTGAATTGCTCACACCAGCTTTGCTTGCTTGGCTATCAGTTTGTTAATTCATATTAAAGGCCATACCTAAAATACTCCTTTGGAAAACCAAAGACTTTGTTTCTTCAAAAAAAGGTCAATTTGAGATGATTTTTAGCATATTTACAATCCCCAAAAATGAATTAAAAACACTGGGAAAAACCAGGTTCAAAATCACAAAAGCAGGTGTATAAGCAGAAAAGTAGGTGTGAAAAAGCAGAAAAGGAGGGTACATTGATTGCTCCCCTTTCCATAATGGTTAAAATTTCAAATATTGTCATAAAAAGTAAAATGAAAACAAAAATGTGATTCCAGGTGTATTCATGGATTGCTACCCAAGACTACATTAAAGGACCACCTAGCAGTAGCATAGAGACCCCAAAAAATCACATCCAAGTGTTACCCCTCTTTTTTAAGAAAAACCTGCTCAAGACAAAAGGGGTGTAGCACCTCCTAGCAGGCACATGATTTATACCATGGCTGTTATGGTAAGGACTCAAAGTGTTTTTTCTTTAGATGGATTTTTTTTCATGCAATTTCTAATAAATCATCCAATAAGACTTCAGAGATATATTCTAAGGGCAATTTCAGCCTAGGTCACCCCTGAACATATCATTGCAACCCAAACAGATTGAAAGTTACACCCCTAAAACCACATATCACAAGGCCAACACTCATTCAAACCATTTTCACAATCTGCAAGCCAGTCTTCAGCCATTTTTATATGCAGCTCACAGCAATTCTGAGCCGCTATGCTACAGGGCCATTTAGTGTTAGCTTAGCGGCAGTAGGAGCAGCTATCTTTTGTGTAGTTTTAGCACACACTTCTGTCCGCTACGCTACACTACTTTGTAGTGGTGCTAACAACACACCTTTTTTGGGTAGTGTTAGCACACCACTACAGTGTTTTTAGTAGCAAAAAAGGCTAAAACACACTGTAGTGCAGCACAGCAGGTGCCGTTTTTGTGCCCCGTGCCCTTATTGTTAGCACAGATTTGTGGAATAAAGCTAACAAGCTTTGGCTCCCTGTGTGCGTAGTGTTAGTGTGAATTTTAGAGATGTCAGCAGGTACCCGTTTGCAGGTACCTGGTACCCGTTTGCAGGTACCCGGAAACAGGTACTGGGTGCGGCTGCGGGTGTCAACATTTGCGGTAAAAACAGGTGCGGGTGCGGGTGCGGGTGTCAACATTTGTGGTAAAAAAAGGCAGGTACCCGGGTACCCGCCTTACACCTGCCCTGGAAATGCTTCCCCTGAAGAATTTAATTTATCATTGGTGGTCCAACACTCCCTTTTTTGGGTGTGTTGGGCTGCACAAAGGTGTCAGCAACCCATGTAGGACACCAGCTGATGTCTTACATGTGTTGCTGAACTAATCTGGCTGCTTTGTTGAGGCCGGAGGGTTCCCTCCGGCCTTTGAGATGGTGTACAGTCTTGATGACTGGAGGAATTCCTCCAGTCATAAAGATGGTGTACAGTCTTCATCAATGGACATTGAATAAGGCAAATGAGGCCAAGCAAAAGGGTAAAGCTAAAGATAGATCAGAGAGAAGATAAAATTCAAATTGGTGATAGAATAATTTGTTTTTCTTTATTTCTTTATTTTTATTTTATTCTTACTCATATATCTAGTGAATATCAATTTTATATTTACCAAGTCATGCAGAAATTCAAGGGTGAGATTTCTGGGTATATTAGCCTGCAAAAATGTGCCAGGTACCCGCAGGTACCCGGTGCAGGTACTTGGGTACCCGCCCTGGCGGCCCTAACAGGTGCAGGTGCAGGTGTGGGTGTCAAAAATATTGGATTTTTGAGCTACAGGTACCCGGGTATCAAGCGACATCTCTAGTGAATTTGCAGAATTGCGCTAACACTTCGCTAAATGTTAGCATATTTTAGCTATACTATGCTACACTATCACTAAGTGTGTTGATAAATGCACCCCCCCCCCCTCCTGCCCGGGCACGCCCAGACCGCCAGACGCCTACTGGTATTGCCTCCCGAATGTCCGAAAACGCCCAATGTGTACGAACGGCGAAGCGATATGTTTGTGAGTCCCGAGCCAGGTACAACGGTGCACAGTGGATCAGTACACA